ATTGTATATTGAAATAAAAGTAATGAAAATTATTACGCTTATGCATTTTGTATTCTTGGTTTGAACGAGCGCTCTTCAATTAATGCCACGTTAAATGGATTTGAATGAAAATTAATACACGAAAGAGCGGAAATCAGCATAAATTTAATTATCATTTGCAACTGCGGATGATTTCCTACCGTTCTTTACAAATGATTTTCCTCGCAGGGCAAAGAGAAACTGCTCCAGCTCAGTGGAACGAGTTTAATTGACTTTGCATCATTTATTCCGTCGCCCAGCTCGCCGAAAGAATTTTTCACTCGCGAGACGTGCACGAAAAAAACCAGCTGGAAATTAAATGAAAAATTGATGGGACGCTGCATTTAAAAACTGTTTTCTTGAAAACGAAACTCATCTTATCGAAATTTGTGGTATGCTAAATAAAAGATTTAAAAACTTCTGATGATTCTATTTTAAGAATCTGATCTCGGCTCGTCTAGTATATTTTAATAAACCACGTGGCGAGTCTAAATAAGGAATAATAGTTTAAGAAGCTTGAAGTTCTCCGGCTCTCGGAACTCCCTCGACGAGTTTACAATTTTACCAGGTCGCGCTGATAATGCGGTCAGGCTCGGCGTCAACGGTATACATATTTATCCTAGTTTGCTCTTACACCGCGTATAACAAACTTTTTAATATCCAGCAGCAGGTCACCGCCGCCTCGCCGGATTAATTAATCCTCGCGAGTTTCGAATCATGCCTCACTGCAACAGATTAATTAATTGCTCTGAGTTCGATCCCGTTCAGCAAATTCTCTTCAAAAAGTCAAACTTCGTCTCCACTCTTGAACTCGTTCGTGTATATTCAAATAAAAATAATTAGGAGATTTAGCATGAAATTAACACAATAATTTTTTATTTAATTTAAACGATCGTTGAGATTCGCATTAAATATATAAAAATAAAAATTCCATTTACTTAGAGAATAAAAAAATGATGAACTTTGCACAACGTGCAATGTTTACAGGCGAGTTATTTTTAACGAAAATAGAATTTGGACGACGGCCAGATTCCAGCTCCAAACTGCCTTTGCTTTGGGCGAGTTCTGTTTGCACAACAAAAACATCACAAAGAACTCAAAAAACCGGTTCCCTGTATTACAAGCGACAGTGAAAAGGAACATTCTTAACTGTCCCCTACAGCATTGTCAGAAGAGACAGGAAAAAAATATGGGATCGTTAAAAAAACGAGTTCGATGATTTCAAGAAACAGTATGCATTATTTCCTCAGGAACTTCTGAATCAAAATGTGTTGCCTACACGCCACATGCTTCCCATATACTTGCAAATATTTAACATAGTACAATGCATGCGCATACTTCTGAAACTTTCATCGAGTCCGAGCTAGGTTTTCCATATTTCTCGCAGCCTTTGTTTCCCAGTTACACTCTGTAAACCCTGAATAACGTTCGGTGTCCCGTTTCCGTCGGAATAGGAAAGCCGTAAAAGAGCCATCCAGCTTCATTAGGCTGCTTCCTGGTTACGCTGTATCGATCCGCGTGTTCGCATCGCCTGTTTGACCACCGGTTCTTTTTTCGTACGAGGTCGGACTAATTATAAAATAAGTGATTAAAACGCTTCGATAAATTTATCACATGTGCAGCATCATTAAATGTCACCGCAGAATCACTTATTAGAATTGCACTATGGATTATGAAGGTAATTCCCTGTTCTCGCAATCGTTTTATTTAAAACCACGTCGTTTATGAACATATTTAAACATGGATTTTATCTTGTGACTATTTTATAAAAATGTAATGTAATATCGTTAGAATTGCAATAAAATTAATTTAATGACAATACAAATATTGGTAAATTATATTGAATGAATAAT